GCAGGTTATCTTCTAAAGTAATCAGTAACTACTCTGCATTATAGATTTCCCCAATGTAAAATTGTTTGACTGTCTGTAGTTCTCCGAGTTTCTCCAGAATTTATCCCATAGTTTGTATTGGGGGGGGGGGGCAGTATTGGAGGGGTGTTGGTTACTATCAGTATGCAAATTCATACTGATAGTAACCAACTATCTCCAGGGAGTATCTCTATGTACTTTAAATATTTGCTTCAGCCCTGTAATTTATTCCAAGAGTCCTAATACTTTGTTGCCTCTGTGAATTGTAGTGTTTAGTACCTGCTGTCTCCCACGTGTCTCCTAATGATTTCATGGGACCAGTCTTGGCTGCCTGTACATGAGTTAACTCTCAAATCCCTGATTGAACCTATCACCCATTGTTGATTTTTAGTATTGACCCTGAATACCTATACTTTTAATTTCCTCCCAGATGTGATAATAATCAAATGGATTTGGGGGGTAGTTTTCTTAACCTATGAGAATGTTGATTCCAATGTGATTGTTTGTGGCCACTATCATAAAACAGCCCATTCACAAAGACTTAATGTACCCTCTCTTTTTCAATACTTGAGACCAAGTGTAATGTATTTCTCTTTTTTGTGGGTCATAATCTACTCTTCTAGGAAGCAGTCATCTATCCTAACCAAAACCCCCACTTCTCTCTGAGATTAGGTCTTCACTATTCTACACGTATTCTATCAATGTGACTGTTTATTCATCATTGTATTCCCATATATACTTGGCACATATAGGACCTGCTATTTTTGACCTGCTGAATGAATGAAACTCAGATTATTGTGTTTATTTATGTTTTTTTAATTAATGATGTCATCCGCTATAATTTTCTCTTTCTTCTCCCAGTGCCATTTCATATCCAATTGAGTACTTTATCTAAGCACTGTAGACTTAGGGTTAAGAGAAACCAACTTGAAGAGCCATTTGAAGGTCATGGAAATCGTTTCCCTGTTTCTTAAAGAAAAAGCACACCTCTCTATAAGCTTGAAGAAAATGAGAGGGAGAAAATGGTAAAGGCAATGGAAAGAAACAGGGTTAGAGCAGAAATAATAAGGAAAGATACTTTCTATCTGGGAGGGTGTCAGAGAAAAGGAAGTTTCAATTCCTATTTTGTGTCATCAGTTTTCTACACAAATACCCAACATTAAAATTGGGAAATCCCATGGGCCTTCTCCTTGATTCATCCCATGGATCTCTTCTCATCTGCTCTGGAGGTACCTCCCTCTGCACTGGAATAGGACAGTATCTTAGTGCCCTTTTCCTTCCTGTCCTGCCAAATCTTACATAGGCCTGTTCCATTTTGGCAGGTTTAAGAACTAACCTTTTGGGTAAACAGGCAGAAATACTTTCCTGTCTGGGCTGGAATATTCTTTTCCTGAGTTTCAGACTATTTTTTCCTAATTCCAGTTATCTCCATTACCATCCAGAAGTATATTTGGCACCAGTACTTGGAAACTTTATCCTTCCCCACAGGCTGTTTTATAAAAATGCATTAATTAGCTTATTGATTTAGTTATACATTCTTATTACAAAATCTGGTGTCAAGGGTACCTCTAGACTACAAGAGATCTGAAATGATGGCCATACCTTGATCCCAATGAGTACCCCAAATAGGTGTCAATAAGGCTACCCTGACTTTTTAACACCTCTAAAGATTCCAGAGTGGAACCTCTTATTTGCCACTCTTTTGTTCTTTTTCCTTAAACAACAGAAATTTATTTTCTCACAGTTCCAAGATCAAGGAGCCCTCTGGGGTGGTTTCTGGTGAAGCCTCTCTTCCTGGCTTGTAAGCAGCTGTCTTCTTGCTGTGTCAAAGGTCCTCTTCTCTGTGTGGCGCATGGAGAGAGAGAGCCCTCTGGTGTCTCTCTTTTTACTTTTTATTTTTATAAGAATAGCAGTCAGATTGGATTAGGGCCCCACACTTATGACCTCTCCACTCATTTTTTAAGGAGAGCTTATCCAGTTTTACAACTTTACTACCTATATATTGTTGATGACTCCTGAGTATATATTTCCAGTCCTCACTTTACCTGAACTGCAGACTCATTTTTAATTGTCTACTTGATATATTTACTTGTATGTCCATAGACCTCAAACTTAACATGTGCAAAAACAAACTCTTGATTCCCTCTAATATAAATTTGCTTCCCCTCAGTTCTTGGTCTCAGTAAACCCAGTTGCTTAGTGTAAACACCTTTGAGTTCTTCTCATGTATGCACATCCAGTCCTTCAGCAAGTCCTGGTTAATACCCTTTAAAATATATCTCAATCTTCCAACATATCATTTCTTTACCATTGCTGCTCAAGGTCAGACCATCATCTTCTCTCACCTAGACCAGCCTCCTCATTGTCTCCTTGCTTCTATTCTTGCCTGATTTCTGCTTTAGAGCATAATTGGATTATAATTCTCTGCTGCTTCTCATCAAAAAGGTTCAACCCAAACTGGCCCCTGAATATCTCTCTCCTTTCCTCCTCTGAATATACATCTCCCTCCTTCCCTTCCCTTTCCTTCTCTTCCTCTTCCTCTCCCCTTCCCCTCCCCTTCTTCCTCTCCCTCCCCTCCCTTCCTCTCCATGGGCCTAGCTTTCTATAGCACATTCTGACCTCAGGGTTTTTGTATTTGCTGTTCTCTGCTTCAAACTCCCTTTCTCCAAATAGCCATATGGCTAGTTACTTCACTTCATTTGAGTGTGTACTCAAATGTCATCTCTTCAGAAAGGCCTTTTTATTTATTAGTCATCCTTCTTAAAACAGCTTCTTCCTAAAATCCCCATCCTCACTGTGCTTTATTTTTCTCTGTAGTTCTTATTGCTATCTGACATTATATTAAGACTATGTATTGCCTGTCTCCACATTCAAAGGCAAGCTCCCTGAGGGGATTAAGGGCAGGGGTATTGTTTGATTGTTCACTGCTGTATCTTCAACAGCTAAAATAGGGTCTGGCTCTTAAAAAATATATATGCTACATATATATTTGTGGACTGAATCAGTTGAATGTGTAAATAAGTGGCTGAACCTCCTTTGAGGAAGATTATGAAGTAATGTCCAATGGTGGAATAGCTTTTCAGTAAAGTAGTGAGCTCCTGGTCTGGCAATATTCAAGCACGAGCTGGATGCTGGAAGGATACTTGAAAGGGATGCTGCAGAAGGAACTTCCAGGTCACGTGGAAGTGGAAGATTAAACCAGGTTTCCTTCCACCTATGAATCATCTGACCCTATGATAAGTTAATTATGATTATTACTCTAAACATTAAGTTAGCACCTACGTTGTGCCTAGCATTGTTCTAGACACTGAAGATAAAAACATAAAAGAGGCCTAGCCAGTATCCATAAGGAGCTAGTAGTCTCTGGATAATTAAGTGGTGCTTAAGAGTATAGGTATAAAGTTTTAGTAGATTAAAATTCATCTTTTTCTATTTATTTTTGAGATGTTTTGAATAAATGTGGAAGGTAGGAAAAAGCTGTTTTCAGGAGAAGAACTAGATAAGAAAGATGACCCTAACATTGCCTTCCTGAGAAGGGAGAATTTAAGGGGTGAAGACCCCATGCTATGTTCTTATGGGGGAATTCCCCAAAATGGAAATACCAGTGTTTCCCATTGAGGCATAAAACAGGGCTGGTTGTAATTCAGTAGCAAAAGTAATTTGAAATTCTTGGAACAAATGTGCTTTCTCCAAAACCAATAAAGATGATTAAGTCCTGCCCCATTCCACCCCCATTTGGGAAGTTAATATGAAATGGACAGTCCATTAAATCATGTTGTTAGCACAAGACTGAAAAGAAAGCTTTCTGGTGAGTAGGACAAGGATTCTAACAGTTAAATACAAAGGGACCCTTCAGTTCCTTTTCTGATTCATGTGCCTGAAATCTTTCAGGCAGTGGGGGAATAGTGGTCTTTTTTTATATGACCCTAGTCCCTCATGCTGCTCATCTTATACACATGCCCCAATATGTCTTGATACAGAATCATCCTCTCTAGCTAGGACATGATATCTAGGTAGGTGGGGAAATTCCCGTTTTGTTTAAAAACCATAGTAGTCTTTGAGTTTGGCTGGCATGTTCATGATAAGTTTACTGACAATTGGTTTTTTTTCCTCTTATGCCATATGCTATTCCATGATTCATCTGCTTTGAGTCTGTTGCCTTGAAGGTGAAACAATTTCTTCCAATGTTGATATTTCATAATCTCATAGATAACAAGCATACCCATATGCATAGTCCTTCAGAAGTTTTAAACATTTGGAGATGAATGAATAATGCTGCCACAAATGGAAACGAGCAGCATAAAATCATAATGGTGATATTAAATCATCTTTTGTTGGATGTTGGGTGAGCACTGACATCGATAAAGCCTGGTACTTTACTACATTTCTCTATCTTTTCTTGAGAAATTGTTTCTGGGATGTGTTATTTATTTATGAATTTTAAAAGTTAACATTTTACTTTAATTGCCTTGCCTTAATGTATTTTAATATTTTCGATAGACAAGATCTTTATTTGTAAAATTGGGGTTTAAATTGCAAATAAATCATTAACATTTGCTGTTTATGTTGTCATGGTGGCATACTTTCTATTTTGCATAGCAATGACTATTCAAACCTCAAGAAATCTTTTAACTTTTGATATAAATAGTAATCTTTCAAAATATTTTAATAGAACATGTTACATTTCTGTATGCAATGCAAAGCAGTTATTTCTGCATGGGTACCTTCTAAGTATTTAGAAGATTAGACTTCTAATAAACATGGACTACACTCATTTTTGCATATAGCTTTAATCAACACACAAATTGTGTTTCATCATTTAACCACCTGTAAATTGTCAGTGATTGTTTTTGAAAATTTCATGGTGTACTAGTAGATGCATGTGTAAATATCTGTATAAGTTATACATTTGGAGAGAGAATTTTAAAAGATTCTAATCCTCAGTATATCTTTCTCCCCTCCCTCCTCTTACCTGGTCTTAGCTCCTTTTTGGTTCAGGTGTGCTGGTGTCCCTAAGCCTTTCTGGGTCGCAGCTGGAGAAAGTGGTGATTGACAGAAGCCTGGTGGGGAAGCTCATCTCAGACACCATCAGTGATGGTAATTACCCCCATGTGCAAATCAATTGCTTACATTAACAGTGGGGAGGAGAAATAGTGTGTCAACAGGTAGACTAATTATTACCACTGGGGACCTGCAAACACAAGTAATTGCATGTAATAGCATAGTTACAACCTGTGGGACCAATACAAGTTTTGACTAATATTTAATATCAAAGTTTTTGTCAAGTGTTAAGCTCATATTCTGAATATTTTTCACTCTTAAAAAATGTGAATGTATTTTCAAAATTGTTTTTTTTTTCTGGTGTGTACTTTAAAAATTAGTTCCCTATTGTTGACATTTCAAATATTTTTCATTTTCAAAAATGAATTTTGAGTAAATAACCCAAATGTGTCAACACAGCCCCCAGTTAAAAAATATAATAATGTTTGCTTTGCCTCTTTAGGAAGATTCTTTGTTACCAAACTCTATGAATATTAACTTTTGAGAGTGTCTGGGAAATATTTCTTTCTTTTTAAAATTAGAATTGACATATAATATTGAATTACTTTCAGGTGTACAACATAGTGATTAGGCACTATTTCTAAATATCAAACATCAATGCCAAATATACTAGATAAATCTGGATTCTATTTAGTGATACTACAATAGTATGTAGAAGCACACAAGAAAAAGATTTTAAGCCAGATATTTAAAAGGTAGGATACTAACATTTCCTGAACCTGAAGAGGCTTTAAGCTTTGCCAACCTACCCATTTTATTTAATTCAAAAAGCAACCTTTTATAAGGAATAGCTATTTTCAGTTTATCGATAAGGAAATTGAAGCTGCGATACTAAGGAACATGCTCACAAACGTGATACTAAGGAACAGCTCAGAGTGACTGAGCTGAAAGCTGAACCCGGGTTCTAGCTGCAGAACCCATTTTCTTTGCACTACACTATGCTGACTCCTGAAGTTTTAAGATTATGTTCTTTTATTCACAGTAAAAGGTCTAAGAAACAGATTTCATTTTCATTAGAGTCTGAAAATTGTCGGTGTCTTAAATTGAATAATCAAAGGAAGTGTGGTCTAATGGGCAAGACAGAGGTGAGAATACAGACCGCCCTTCTGCTGTGTGCTCTCACTAGCTACCTCTGAACAAGTCAGACCCAATTTCATCATCCTAAAGCAAAGCAGCCTGCAGGATGCCTATGATTAGCAACATTGCTGATGATAATACGTTGAGGGTAGGCTTGTAAGTGTGCCATGTTCTCTTCCTTTTAGGACAGTGGTGCTAAGGAAGCTTCCCTATGGAAGAGGTTTCATTTTGACCCCTTTGTTGACACTGCAAATAAAATAGTGACTGTGATGATTTTATCATCCTGCTGCAGCTCTATAAGAATTAAAAGGAGACTTTCAACATTATTCGTGTCTCTGAGATATCTTCTTTCACTTGTTTCTTTTATTTATACACTCTCAAGAGACAATGATAACAATGTGATTTCTTGGCAGTTCTCCAGATTCTTCTGTAATTGTGTAGATCTGCTGTTGGTAACTGTTTGCACAATGAGGGGTGTAGAAGTAAAGAAAAATATATAAAACATTCAGTAATTTCTTTATGCTAGGAACAACATAAAACATTTCTCAGTTATTGTTATCAATTTTATGTAACATTAATGGCCCTTTCTGTAACCCATAAAAATTATCTACCTACTTGTATGCTTTAGAAATAAAGCTGTAGAAGTATTTTTGCTAATATTCCTTTTTAAATATTTAATGCACATATTGGAAATAATATGCTTTATTTCATTCAGCTTATATACTCTCAAAAAGAAGGTTCATTGATGAAACATTTAAAAATAAAACAGTAAGATTGGTGGGGAGTACTGATCTATATTTGTTAGTCCAATTTATTCTCAGGTGGTTTATATTGTTATGAACACAGGATTAAAGGCTAAGGATAAATAAAAGTACATGTTTTAATCTTTACATTCAGGTGTGAAACGGTCTTCATTCTTTTCTAGCCCTATTTCCAACTACATCTTATTTGGTGGTTGTTCCCAAACATCAGAATATATTGACATGGTCTCAGAAAAGAAGGAAAAGTATCAAATCCATGCATGATTAAACTGATGATTATCATTTATTTCCAGTATCTTTAATATCCTTGTAAATTGTCATAATGATATTTAGGAGACTAGTTATTTCAGTTAACATTTATTTTCTAAAAATAGCCTCTTGTAATATTTCATTGGAAAAAAAATCAACTCATTGTTATTTTATTCTAGCTTATTATTTGATGGTATTAATAAATCTTCCTTTTTTTTTTTTTTTTTAAAGCTCTTCTCACAGACAGCTTTATCATCTTATCATTTTTGGCACAAAACAAACTATGTTTTATTCAGTTTACCAAGAAGATGGGTTCTCCTGATGTAAACAAAAGATTGGAAAAACTCTCAGCTTTGGATTATAAGGTAGAGATTTCAATTTAAGTAGTCATATTGTTAATTATTAAGGTATGAGTTTCACATGAGGCGATACTATGCTCATTATTCCTGCACATTTCTAGATTTCAGAGTTATTATAGGATTAAGCTTGATTCATTAGAAACAGTGGCCACACCTAAGTTTTCTCTTTTCCTCTCATTATGGGAGGTCTAACAATGGAATGTTTACAGCAATATATATATAGTACTTATAGAAGTCAGTGACAGATGACAGGCAAGTTACATATTTGAAAATGGTTTTGTCGGTAGTGATAGTATATATACCATTCTTATTTTCCCCTAATACCCCATATTATTTTTCTAAGCAAGGATAGCTGGTCTGGCTTCTATTTCACAAAAGAAAGAAGGCACTTCCAAAGCTTAATAGAAAAGTGTAATAAACAAGGAATGGGAGATTCCCCCCTCCAACTATAATTGGAAAAAATGCAAAAAGAAATCTTCATGTGTTAGTCTCTCCCTTCACTAACTCCAGGTAATTTGTTTCTTTGAATCAGGGACTTTACATCTGTTAAGGCAGGATTTTTATTTTAAATGGTGTGTTTTAATTTAAGTTTTTCCATATTACATTTTAAACTGTTTTGAAGGCATACACTCTGCTAGGATGAGTATCTAATACATTTTCCAGGCTGTTTCAGTTCAAGGCCTCTTTTTAGCAATGACTTGTGTTTGCAAGATTGATCCAGCCTCTGTGACGTGGATTTGAGACAGTTCACTGTTCACTGGGAACAGAGCTGATATACAGCTTTCTTAAAGAACATGCACACTTATGCCATAGAGTATAGAGCAAAGGCAAAGATTTTTAGAAGTCAGCTTTGTGGCTTGAAACTGTGTGTTTTTAAAAAAAGTGGTATTTAAGCTAACCTTTTGCCCATTTGGGATTATTTCTTATTGTGATTGAGGTGGTAGTGGTGTGAGGGAGGATCTAATTTTATTTAGTAGAAATGTATTTTTATAAAAAATATTTTTAATTCAAGATAAAATATAAATAAGTTTTCTTTGTGGTACCTAACTACAATTTGGTTTTGTTTAACAGTTTTGTGGAGCTTCTATAACACTTGGTGTAATATTGCAATTTCCTTAGCTGGAAATCAGTGGTACTCATATTTTGGTTAGTCAAAAAATTGCTATTAACACTTTCAATGGGATGTTATTTTCCAGAATGGCTAACTATAGATTTAGTTGAAATGGTATTTATTTATCAGTATTGTTCTTCAATAGGCACCAATGTGCATTAATTCAAACTATTTTAAGTGTTTCTAATGCTTCCATATAAACTTTTACATGACTAGTTTCTCCATCTTAGGTTTGATGGATAGCTTAATAAAGTCTTCTCTGCCAAAGAACAGTGGCTGTCCATTAGTGAGAGCAGAGAGAAACTGTCATGACATAATCTATTCCTTATAAACAGATGTAGAAAATGGACCTGGTATGTGGGCCCTTATCCCTTAAGTAAAGGAATTATTTGTTTATTCTTCCTGCCTTGGATTTGGGAAATTAGGATATGAGTACTCCTTGTCATTTCTATAATTAGAGAAGTAATCCCTTGGGAAAACCCATGGATTTCATATTCTGGTTCAATATTTCAATTTGGGTATTTAATACTTAGTAAAAACTGCCATTTGTCATTTGGAAGACTATTCTAAGAAACTTTTTTATTTCACTTGCCCTGTATACCATCGTGATAGAATATGACGCCATTCAAACTTATAGAAAACATGAAATTTCAGATAACATACATGATTTGCGTTACATGAGGACTGAAAGTATCAGTCTCTTGTTTTAACTCTATTTCCCCATGTAGACATTTTTAAGTAATACATTTACATGGCAGGTAGTACATAAAAATTATATGTAATTCCATTGTGGTATTTCTCTAAAACAAGAAGGTAACTAATGATATTGAGAGCTTAGACATAAGAATTTGCACTTCAAAGCATAAAGTACATCCCTGTGGTCTGTCACTGCCCATTTGGTTTTGAAAACAAGGAAATAGTGGAGAGTATTATAATTCTGCTTTTCTTTACAGCTGTACCATAATTTAATTCTTTCAGAATGGAATAATTTTGGCAGGGAAAATTGCAGGGTAAATATCTTGAAACTATTGGCCTTTAACAAGTTTTCCTGTCTGCATTTTAAAAATCCAATTCAATTTATTTAACAGTGAAGGGACAGTGCAAGGAGTTAAATGTTTACCATGAGAGAACAACACTGGTAATTACTTTGATTTCAGTTCCTTTTGATGTGCATTCAGAGGATGAAGAGGTCAATAATATTATGGCCATGCAAATAGAAAAGGGTTCCTTTTGACCATATTAAAAAAAATAGCAGAGGATTATTAAAGCATTAACCTTGATTTTAATGGCCTTGGTTGAGTGGTGAGATCACAATTTGGATGAGCCTGATTATTTACTAAATACAATACATAAATGCAACGGGTTCTTAACACCCATTGCACTCTGGCATTATCGCATTACTGCCATCCTTTGTTGCCTTGCAGACAGGAATATGAAAGCAATCTGTCATGTAGTGAGACTGGCTCCAGAAGCATTTCTCTGATAAGAAGACCCCCTGCCCTTTGCTAGTGTCTGGTCCAGTAGGCTTAGCCATGCGCTTAATCCCCAGAAAGTGGTTCGATTATTGCTGACCAGCAATGGCAAGATAGTTTTTTTTTTTCTTCCAAGCTATCAACCTTCCATTAATTCCTTAAGCAGAAATACAGTGCAATCTATATTTCCTTGGCATGTGTCACCCAGATGGTGCTGTGCTTATGTTTTCAAATAACCATGTTCCAAAATAACATAGTTTGAATAATAAATTCTACAATTTTTTCCTAAGAGAAGCATAATTCTCAGAAGCTGTATAAACTTTTACACACGGTGCTGTGGCTTATCCTTTTGTGCAGAATGTATGTGTATATGTCTCATATATTCCTTAAAATGATATTTGCCTCAAGTTGTTTTTCCTTTTATTGTTGTCAGTCATTGTTAACATGTTATGTCTCAAACAGTATTTGGATGCTCTTGGTCAGCAGTACTGAACTTGTCATTTAATATAGCCGGTCTCAAATCCTCTGTGTAGGTCGATGCTGTCAAGCAACCATGACTGTACATTTTGGTATTGATTGGGATTGCTACAGCCAATTCTCCCTAACTCACATTTTTCTTTTCTCTTTCCTCTGCTAAAAATGGAAAGAATTTTGAACATATGTCTTTTTTAAATGTGTCAAAAGAATTTGGTAAATTCTGACACCTCCTGAAGCACATGTTTAACATGCATATTTACTTGCATTTATCTACATTTACAGATGCTTTAATTTTTATAATACTTGGGGATTTTGCATTAAAAAATGCTTCTTGTATGCTTTTTTAAAAACCATTAGATTTCCTATTATGACATGCCTGGCCCAGTAAACAGGACAACAGAGCGTCGGCTAGCCATCAGTAGTGCCCAGGATACAGTTGTTTGCTGGTGGCCACTGGTCAGTGATGATGCTTGGCCATGGGCCCCCATCTCTTCTGAGAAGGACAGGGCCAATTTGCTGCTCCTGGGTTATGCTCAAGGAAGACTGGAGGTAATATAAATAAATATGTACATTTTATTGAAGAGCAAATAAAATAAGATTATTAATTTTTCCTGTGAAGTAAATACAAATGCTTTTTAAACCTATAATTTTTCCAAATAGTCAAAAGGAATATGAAATGGGATTCTTAAAAGTATTCTATCTAAAAGTTACATAGACAATTTCAGGGCTGGCACAATGATTAGAATAGCACAATGATTAGAGCAAGGCTTCTGGGTTCAATTCCTAGCTCTGCCACTACCTAGTTCTCTGTCCTTGAGCAAGTTACTGAGGTCTATATGCTATGGTTTTGTTAATTTAAAAATAGAGTTAAGGAAGATAAAGGAGTTAATACATGCATTTAGAGCAATACCTACATATAAACTGTTTATCACTGATCACTATTATGGTTCTTGTTATCCTTATTAGTACTCTCATTCCTGTTTGCTCATGATTTTATGTCAGTCAAAGCTGTTACCAGTCACCTTCTTTGATCTTCAGTCAGTCAGTGAACAGTCAAATGCCTATTTTGTGCACAACCCTGTGGTGCCAAACCAAGGCTGGGGCAGAATTTATAAGGAGGGCTCTAGGCAGTGGCCTCAGTCTAGCATCTTGCCTCAGACAGGATCACCAAAGGTTAATCTAAGAGGTGAGGATAGTGTCCTACCCTATTCTTGACATTGGTTCTATTGTCATTAATTATTGTGAACCTCTGGGTATTTCCAGCTTGTACCAGTACTTTGAGTATGAAATTCTGTTTTATTTTTTTTTTATAACTTAAAAAAAAAGCTTCACCATTTATTAAAAAGTTTTTGCTTGGGTAAAATAGTATGTTTCTGTATTTTCTGTAAGTCTGTTACCTTCTAGGCTTTAAGAAGTATTTCTCAGAATTAGTATTCTGAGATGTAATGAACAAGTCCAAATTTTCTCTATCACTACCTACCTCTCTGGTTTTATAAACTTTTAGTCTGTCTTTTAAGGCTGAAAAGCCCTTTTTGATTAATTAATTAATTAATAAGACCTTTTTCTGGGAACTTTTTCAATTCTGTTGCAATAACCAACACCATTTGTAATGTTTTAGGTGTGGATTTTTTGAGGCTATGGAAATGCTTTACTATTTACTTCTGTTCGTGCCACCATTTTATTGATCTTGGGTTTTGATGCTAATCGAGTAAAATATTTCATTAAAATGACAATGTAATAAAGCTAGTTACAATTCTATTAACTGTTCTGTTTGATAATAAAGATAAAAATAATTAAATCAGCCTTTAGTTATACATTACACAAATTACCTTTATTTGAAACTAGATGCCCACTGCATGAATTCATGCACCAGTGGGGTCCCTCCTCCTGGCCTGTGGGATAGGGCCAAAACCGGTCTCCAACATCCCCCAAGGGGGCGCAGGCCAGGCTGAGGGACCCTACTGGTGCATGATCGGAGTCAGGGAGGGACACAGGAGGTTGGCCATCCAGGGAGGGATTGCAGGAGGGCTCCAGGGCGTGTCCGGCCTGTCTCGCTCAGTCCCGATTGGCCAGACCCCAGCAGCAAGTTTGCCTACCGGTCGGAGCATCTTCCCCCGGTGGTCAGTGCATGTCATAGCGAGCGGTTGAGTGGCCTTAGCATATCATTAATATATTGTGCTTTGATTGGTTGACCGGCCTACCGGACACTTGGCATATTAGGCTTTTATTATATAGGATGAGTGGATTATATGAAACTAGGATCATTCTAAAAGGGTGTACATATGGTTTAATAACTTCATCAGTTGATGTCATGTAGATCATGGACTTTGGAGTTGGACAGACTTGGATTTGTCTGTTGGTTGGACAGTATATTAATTGTGTGGCCTTTAACAAGTTTAGTCCCTCTGAGCTTCTGCTTGCTGTTAGCTAATTCAGTGTTCTTTGGCCTTAGGTAGATCACCTATTTTCTCTGACTTTTCATTTTCTAATTTTTAAAGCGATGGATTTAAACCAGATAGGTCACCCCCAGTTCCCTGGCAGCTCTAAAACGTACTCATCTGGATGCTGCAGCACTCATTGATTTAGCCACTGACTGCTGCGAGGCCTTCAGTAGATACTGAAACTAAACTTAGTCTTAGCACTGAAAAGCCCACCCTGACTGGTCCTGACTTGCCTTTTCAGTGTTATACCTTATACAAACCTGTGTTCTAGCCAAATGGTTTAGTCACTGCCTCATTATTTCCCCCTCCTGCCCATACACATTACTGCTGTTTCTACCTGAAAGGCCCTTCCCTTTCTCTTTCTACCTCATTCAGAAACTACTGAGCATGACTGTAGAATAAGCACTATGTTTCATGCCATGAGATATGAATGCAAAGCGATCCCTACCTGCAAAGATCTTAGTGTCTACCATTGAGAAGCAAATATGAAAACATTTAAATGCACTAAAGTGTTATATGGTGCTATGGATAGAGTATGTGTAAGCTATAGTAGCAGCCAGCCAATGGGGCATGATTGATTCTATGGAGATAGTAAGGAGGGAATATTAAAGGGGCTTCACAATTTGCTCAAATATGAGATTATACACAGTTTTACTTTCTTTTACTATTTCTGAGTTTCATATCAAGGTTTTATTAGCCCGATGGAGTGATTTGGCTAGCTTTTTTATTATTATTTTTTTCCTTCTCTCTGAAACAGTCAGAGGCATTATCTCATACTTGAATGTTTGGTAAAACACACCCATGAAACTCCCTGGGTGTAGTGTCTTTCAAGGAAAGTAGATTTTTCATACTGGTTCTACTTTTCAAGGGTTGTTGGTTTTTCAGGAATTCCATATTATCCTTGTGTTGTCTTCCATAATTTGTATTTCTGGAAACTTATTCATTTTCTGTAAGTATTTGAATAGATTTTAATAAAGTATTTCTGGAAACTCTATCCATTTTATGTAAGTATTTGAATAGATTTTACTAAATGTTATCTGATACTTGCACATGATTTTAAATTATTCACCACTGATTGCATAGTAATGTCCCCTTTTTCAGTCCTAATATGTTCAGGTATGTAATTCATCTTTTTGGCAAGTTACTGTTGTGTTGGATTTGGCCCTTTCAGTCATTCTCTCAAAATAAAACTGGAAAAATTGGAAAAAATTTATTTTCCAGAACCTCCTGTGAACTTCTGTATGCAGAAGGTGAATGTCTTTTGGAAGAAATGTTTAGGGAAATAATTGTTTCTTTTTTTGATTGTAAAGACATAATCTATGATTTGTAACACTTTTTTTTTATTTTTTTTATTTTATTTTTTTTAGCATATCATGAATTAAAACCACAACCATGTAAAAGTAATGTTCAGGTGTATGTCTTTAAATTTTTTTCACTAGTGACCAATAAATTTCTTGAACTAATATTAGAATAAGGTATAATATATTCTTAAGCCCTAAAATTCAAACAAAACCAGTAATAACCTCATAGAGAAGAAATTTAATCTTTGCATCTATTACACTACAGAATTTTTAAAAATGCATTTCCCACCTAGGTTCAATCAGAAAAGATAATTAGCTGCTTTTTTTGGTGTGTGTGTGTGTGGAGGGGTGCACTGGCAGGATCCTGGAGTAGCTATTCCTTGCCTTGGCAACACATTACCGTCACCTGCAGAGCTTTTACAAAGGGGCCCACCCAGACCAGTTACATCAGAATCTCCAAAGGGGAGGAGGCGTCAGTATTCTTTTACAGGTTCCCTAGGTGATTCACATGTGCATCCAAATTGAGAACCGCTGCTTTGCAGCACAGTAAGAAAAAAAGTTAAAGCCATCTTTTTTGCATAACAGACCATGGAAAGGATAAAGCCCACATACTGAACCAAATGAGAGTTTTAGCAGTAGATTCTAAGTAGAAAATTGGCTTACCAAGCAGCTAAAAAAAAAAAAAAAAAGAAAGAAAAGAAAACAAAGGAAACAGAACTAAGCTCTCTGTGATTGAATTATCTGTTTGTCAGAGCAGGAACATTTTTTATTTATTTTATGGATGTTAGAAAACTGCTTGTCTAATTTCACACTACAGAGCTTGAAACAACAGTACATATCTTAATTAGAACTACAAAGCAGAGAGTTATGTATGTAGTCTAGGAAAACAACTTTCTTTTGAAAAATATACAATAAATAGTGTTCAGAAAAAGAAAAATGTTATCAGTAAATTAATTTTACAATAGTTTTTAATAGTGTATGTGTGGATTATCATGTGTAACATGGTAGTATTTTTATTTGAATTTCACAAATTCTTTATACTTCTTTTTGGAAAGTTTCTGCCATTACCTTAGAACCGTGGTCGGCAAACTGCAGCTCACGAGCCACATGTGGCTCTTTGGCCCCTTGAGTGTGGCTCTTCCTAAGCCTTAGGAGTACCCTAATTAAGTTAATAACAATGTACCTACCTGTATAGTTTAAGTTTAAAAAATTTGGCTCTCAAAAGAAATTTCAGTGGTTGTACTGTTGATATTTGGCTCTGTTGACGAATGAGTTTGCCGACCACTGCCTTAGAACTACTTAACCTTTTATACTGTTAAAAATGAGATGACAGCATAATTTATTCTTCCCTTCCCTTTATATTTGAGCAGGCATTTTAACTTTTCAGCCATGTGGGTTTGGTAATGCTTTCTGAGTATGGTGTTAATTTCAAGATAACTCAAAACGGGTCACCTGAATTTGTTTATTAGAAAGTAATAAAAAACACATAAGCAGAGCTATTAAACCTAAAAACCTGTTTTAAGGACTAGGGAAATATAATCTTCCAAAGATAACTTTTCCTCCATAAAAGTTAAAAATTGTTTTTGCAGTGATTTAGAGGAACATCTGATGGGAAAGTAAAAATGTGACTTTTAATACAGTATGATTTGATAAAAGAAGCAATTAGAAAGCATTATAAATACATCCAACTGAAAAGCCAAAGTACTTAAGCATCTTTTCCAAAGGAATGTATGTACTGCATTAGCTTTCAACCGAATAACAAAGATTTTTTTATTTTAGGGATGATTTTTTTAAAATTTCTTTATTA